AAGTGGTTGCATTCCTATTTTTCTGAAAGGAAGCAGTACACCGTCTACAATGGAAAACCCTCCACTACCCACTTACTTTAGCTAGTGTTCCTCAAGGTGCTGTTCTTTCTCCCTTTCTGTTCTCGTTTTTCTTACATGACTTGTCTCATTCTGATGCAGCCACTTTTGTTAAGTATGCCGATGACCTCTCGGTTTCTATGCCTGTCAACTCTCAGTCAGATTGTTCCAAATTAAATAACTTTCTGTCGGAAATTAGTCAGTGGTCCTCTTCAAACGGACTTAAGCTTAATCCGTCTAAATGTCAGGTAATCAATTTCACTTTCAGACGTAAACGTGACCTACAGCAACTTGTTAGCTCACATGGCCTCACTATCATTGACAGCACAGAGGTTGAAAATACATCTTATGTCAAGTACCTTGGGCTGAGTTTTTCCACCGATCTTTCCTGGTCTTCCCACATCTTGCTAGTTACTAGAAAGATGTTTCGCTTAACGTTCTACGTTAGGAAATTTAGGCAGTCTGGTATAAAGCAATCTTTACTTTCTCAATTTGTCAATTCTTGTATTCTACCCATCCCGCTTTACTGCTCCCCATTAGTCTTTCCTGGACTACTTAAGAAAGACTTTGCTTCGCTGAGAAGGGCACTAGAAGCTGTTAGTAGGGCAAGTTGGATATCGTTAAACCAACTGGTGAACACTATTGTAGATAGACATATTATATCATGTAAGAAACTAGCGAATACAATATTGTCGGACCCCGAGCATCCTCTCTATACGCATCTATCTCCTTGCATTTCATCTGGTAGAACTAGAAGCAGCTATAGGAGGCTATATGCTAGGACTACCATATCTGGCACAGCTGTTATGTGATGAGAAATCCGTTAGGTATGACACGATAAACTTACTGCGGCACTCTAACAAATAGTCCCATTAGTTTTTGTTTTCCTTTCCTCGTTACTATTACACCGTTGTTCTCATCTACAACCACACATCAACTTTATATTTCAAATCCTGTGGTGCATTGTTTGAAATGAAATACTCTACGCTGTTTTTTTCTTAATTTTTATTTTTATTTATTTATTTATTTATAACTTATTTATTTTATTTTATTTATTTATCTTTGATTTTTAAAAATCTTATATAATTTATGAGGTAATTAGATGCAATATACTGTAATGCACGCTGAAAATTCCATACATGTACCACAAATACCGTTTGGAATAAAGCTGTTATTATTATTATTATTGTGGGAAATCAGATATATATCATCGGCGAAGTCCAGATCCTCCAATTTTTTTGTGTGAGTTCATTTTATGCCTGTTTCCTCGCTGCCCGCTGTCTGTCGCATTATCCAATCTACTGCAATAAGGAAGATCATTGGTGATAGCAGGCAGCCAGCCAGCCTTGTCTTTAGCCCGTTCTCACTTCAAAGGATTCCGTAAGTTTCCCGTTGTGGATTACTTGGCTGGCATGCAGCATTGTCGAACAATTGTTGGATGAAATGTATAATTGTCGATGGCACCCCTTAGTAGCGAAGTAGTTGCCAAATGATCTCTCGGTCGACGTTGTCGAAGGCCTTTTCAAAGTCGATGAAGTTGAGATAGAGAGGTAATAATAATAATACTTGGTCAAAATCCCTGATTGTCTATATCTTCTTATGGAGACGTTAAGAAATGTTTTAGAACTGTTTATCCACACACGCATGCACACATATTCATTTTGTTTAAAGTGTTTGACAAAGGTAGACCAATATTTGTAAGTCCGAGTTCAAATTTTGATCACAACTCGTACAATTTTGTTTATTATACATGTTGATACTTGTTTTATGACTCATGATTGGACAAAGTTTTTAAAACCAAGTGATGTTCCTTTTATATATAAACCTCTGTTATGTTAATTTCGATTAATTTACCTGAAGAATTTCGGACCATATTGCCGAACGCCGGAGACGTTGAAATTACTCACTTCAATCTCGCTGAGATTTTACAAGTATACTTTTTACAAATGTCTACTTTTCACTCAGCGCCCAATTATATTTTAGAACTATTCTGTCAAATCTTGACGACAGTTCATTTGAGATAACGAAACAGATTAACAGTGATTAATCAGTACCAAAATTTTGGACAGCATTTCTTCAATCTTCTGCTAACCAGTTCACGATTAAGCAACAATAGCATTCATGTCACGTCTGCTAATGTGGAGACTAATTCGAACAAAAACAAACGATTCCGTGTTCACCAGCACTGACATCTGCCTCTTTGCATGATACTGAAGTTGAGATAATCACTCGTTCAGAAACGATACGTAACAAGGAACTTTGTCAGACAAAGAACCTCTTGTCAATAAATGTGCTTAAAAGAATAGAGATTGATTGGGTATATACTAACTAAGGAAGCTAGTCAGTAAAATCGTGCACCAGGCAGGTGCACCTCAAATGGAACTCTAATGCAAAGTGACAGGTTTGGCATCGGAAGTTGACATGAAGAAGGTGATGAAAGGCAAAAGTGAAAGCTTTTAGACAGTCGTATAGGCGATTAGAAGTAATATTTCTTCATGTATTTACTCCCCTTTATGAGTTTTAATAAAAGAAGATCGACAGTTCTCGTAGAATATGGTACCATCATTTATTTCGTTGGCTTCTCATCATCTGCTTACAGCCTAAATAAATTAATATTAAGTTCATGTGTAGGAAAGTCTTGACATGCAGGATGTCAGTTGACAGGAATTTCTGAACTTAATGAATAGTGCTCAGAAAGATACGCTTATTTGGCTTTTACTTAGGCAGTTCAAGTTTAAACAAAGTAAATATAGGCATACAATGGTAAAGGAGTTACGTAATAAATACGAGAGGTGCATAAGATGATGAGTGATTAATAAATTGGATGACTATCTACTTAGTTTTACTCAAATCATCGAAACAAGAGACAAGTGAAATTACCCTTTATCAAAGGGAAGTAAGGTTAAAGCCAAAGATTACACACTCAGTTACCAGTTGAGGTACAGAAAGACTGATAATGGCTTCTTCATGAAGACAAAATCCGGGTTTCAGGCGTTAGATAGACGTCACTTTGGCGAACCTGGATAAAATTGAGCTTCTTTGTCTATTGATAATTTTGAAAGATTTCGCAATTTCCACCTCGTAACCCTTTCAAATGAGATGTTTAGTAATGGCACTATTTCAAGCGTTCGTTCGCTTGAGACGTAGGTTTTTCGGTACATTTTCAGAAAATTAGAGGTATGCCCTTCAACTTTCTGTTCTCCCGATGTAACTGCTCCCGCAGATACACTTAAATTTGTATACAAAGTTGAAATCGTTAACCTAAGAAGGATATCTGTCGACTTGACAGACAAACGAATATAGTGGATATGTGCTGTTGAAAAGCACTGTTCCCCACTGGAACTCAATGAATAAATAATAATTAATGCCACGTCCAGTTTCTAGTTCACTTTCAGTACGAAGGATTTTCGAATGGCTAAGAAACATGCTTTTACTGTCAGCCTTCAACCACCCCCACCAAACTTATTCACCTTCTACCCCTTCATCGCAGAAAATTGAACAATGTCGTCCATTTTGTTTTCATTGTCTCTCTGTTACATGACTCCACCTTGTCTGGAGAAACAACTTTCAATTTTACATGTTACATAATATGATATTTTTATATATACAAACGTGTTATTTTTAATTTTCCAATCATGTCATATTCAGGTTTTCAAGAAAATATAGTTACAAAATTTTATTTACCTCATTTTTTTGTTATTTCACATGTTTCAATATCGTAACTTTTAAAAGTTTTTAAGAGTTGGTTCGTAAGGATTAAATTTGTTTTTATGAGTTTGACCACCCATTGATATCAGTTAGAGAAGCATTTAAGACCAGGGAGTACTGGGGAGATGTTCTATCCTGATTTAGGGTGGGGTTCGAATCTAGGCAAGCTTGTATTCCATTTAGCCACTAGCCAGAACAGGAATCCTAACTTCTACCAATTCGTGATGCATTAAGCGCGACTGGCACCAACCAATGTCATCGGTGGGGAATCCATCTTCACACGTGACATCTGGATGGATCTCAGAGGTCACGACTTCCCACTATAACTCCAGGAGACTCTGTCCTGTGTCAAGTAGTCACTAACGTCCTCTTTTCCCTTCACGTTACCCATTGGAACATAGGGCTGATTCAAGCTAGTGGTTTGAAGTTTCTGTAGCAGTGTTCATTTTTACGGGATAGGGGTTGCTAGCCTCATCTCCAACCTTTCTTCTTTACTAGCATTATTTTTGGCTTTGCGAGGCAAAGGAGTGCCTCGTCGGTGGGCGGGGATCGAACCCCGGACCATGTGCATGGTTGGCGAACGTCCTAACCGCTATGCCACCGAAGCACATTATAAAGATAATAATAAGTATATTATCTCCCAATTATCTGATTTCTCCAGGGTTTTAAAAAAACACGTGACCTTACTGCTAAAAATCTAAACCCTACAGGATCTGTAGGGTTATGTAATTTACCTCACGGTTTGTATAGGCATTAACAGTTGCATTATTAACTAGAAAATGGTTAATATATCAACACCCTTGAAAGCGTGTCTTCATCATAACCTACCACGTGACTGATAAACATTCGCAACTGTGTATACTCGACATTAAAAGGAGAATTTTATAATGAGGACAGTTATGTAAATTAAATAATTTACTCCAGTGAAGAGTACAAAAAGCTGTTTATGAATAGCCGACAAAAATGTATCAGTTAGAATTGGTTCAATTGAAAATGAATTCAATGCATAATTTGTCACTGAGTTTAAATTTTATTACCAATCCTTTGTCCGTAACGACTGTTATGCACTTGGTAAGTGTTAAACACCTGCATTTCAATGTTTGCATACGTGAGTCCAGCTTGCGAGTGACATTTTCCATCTCACTTAAAATTATGGAGATGAGCTTTAAACAATTTTAACATTATAAAGTGCATCCTAATATAAAGTGGGTAGTATTAAATATAAGCAGGCTTACTTTAAGGGCAGCGAATACCTTATCGAATGGTAAATTTAGCACCATTTTCCATCCTTTATCCGCCAAAATACGATAATTGTCCATGTCGCTGTCAGTGGGCATTAATTTGTCTGGAATGCCTTGTAGACTGCCACCCAGGCGACCATCTGCTTCACTTATAGATCGAGGAGGATCTGGTAGGACAATGGTAGCTAACAACTGAATTAAGTGTTGGCCCAAACTCTCACGAGCCCCAGCATCAAGTTTTCGAACAACAGAAGTCGTGATGTGTTCTAGGCCCGTTCCTCCTGCTGAATCATTACCAGTGGTGTCATCACTGAGTGGGGAATTCGGATGATTCAAAAATGTCGAGCCTACAACAAAACATTATGAATATGATTATCAACTACGTAAGAAAACACTAATAGGCGCATTTGTTGGTATACATCACACGAAATACATAGAAACGTACAGAAGCTGATGTTTGATTTTACAAAATCATGCCACTTTAGCAAAAAGCAAAGGGTGACACTGCTGTTAGTTGTACTGGACCCTCAAATTCCAATCAGTATTTCGGGCTCTGGAACTCAATATCATCGACTTGGATTCAGGCCGATAAATTTTATTGTTAGGGGTTGCATAATAAAACTGCTTCATAGCACTAACATACATATAGCGACTGAGTAACATCATTTAATTACTATTAGGTCTTAAATCAAAATTGATAGGATCGTTGAAGCAAGCCATAGGGAAATTATCACAGATGTAGATTTTATGGTGATGGAATCGCTTTTGAGATGTATCGCATTGCGAATTGCTATTAGTTATAGAATCACTGCAAATAAAGAAGCACCACACGGTTGATTCGTCTTAGTTTTGACATTTTCAGTAGCACGCGCCCATGACATAATATAGATCGCATGTAACAAAATGTAAATGGTGTTAGCACTGCTGTCATAATTTGGACATAGTAAGGATACAGAATTTTGTAAAACCACTGTAAGAGAAACAATTCCGGAAAGGATAGAACTACAACAAAACTCCCAGGGGAACACAACTAGCATCTTGACCAGAGAGAGTACAAGTATTTAGAGATGAATTGTCAATGAATGCTTCTCCACAATCACACGAATCGATCTTCCTACTCACAGCTTCCAACAATCCATTTCTTAAGAGGTGGATGTATAAAATTTGTTGCAACTTGTCTATTTTGTCATACAGAGAAAACTAGTCACCTATTTACCCAAATTGTCGTCCAATATGTCAAAACAATTTTAACTTCTATAAATGTATACTAATTATTACATTTTAAATTTTAGCGAAAACTCATTGCTACCAGACGACAGTAATTTAGTGCTCACATAGATTCAAAGTTAATTGATAAATGATTGAAAATGCTCTCATTAATATATTTCGCTTTCAACTGTCTATGAGTCTACTGAAACTCCTGCTTTTATGTAGTCCTTTAAACAGTTCTGATATACTATTCTAAATTGTGGACCTATTTCTCTTAATAGCGTCGGTGGTATAGCAGTTAGGACGCTCGCCGACCATGCACATGGTCCCGGGTTCGATCCCCGGCTGACGCACACCTCTACCTCTCTAAGCCAGAAATAATTCTGGTAAAGAGGAAACGTTGGGAATGAGGCTAGCAACCCCATCCTGTAAATATGAACACTGCTACAGAAACTTCAAGCTACTAGCTTGAAGCCCTATGTTCCACTGGGGAACGTGAAGGAAAAATTATTATTATTATTTCTCTTAATATGCATGAATTGCATAATCCAAAGAATATTTTTGAACTTAAAAATTTAGGCACACATTACTTAACAGGGCAACAGCTATATTGAGATTTATTTATATGGGGGAGAGATATGAACAATTAGTTACTCGTAGAACAAGAACACCAAACAATACTTGAGTGAGTACACTGTTACGACTGCACTACTATATCATGATGACATTTGTTTAATGTAGTGCATTCTACTGTTTCACAAAACCAACTTACAAACAGTAAAAAAGCCTCATATAAATATGGGATCACTACTAATATACCAACTCCAACCAAGTTGTCCCTAATCCCCAGTTTGTGAGCACACAGGCGGACTAAAACAAACATCTTTTATTTATTTTTTATTTTTGATTACAGCTTGATTCCAGACCGTATTTTTGGTACAAGTATGGAATTTTCAGCATGGATATCGGTAGCCCAAATTTTGCAGGCCGACTATAGATATCGGGTGTGCGTCGGCGGGGGGGGGGGTCAAACTCCGGACCATGTGCATGGTCGGCGAGAGTCCTAACCACTGTGCCACCGACTCACTGTGGCTGAGCTATTTGAATAATAATAATAATACTCATTTCAAACAAAAAATTCATGTGAGTATGCAGTTGAATGAACATGGTTTATATGCCCAGTTTCTCCTAAAGTGTACCCTTCCGAGTCGCATCAAACTTCCGCGGAATTTTTATTCGAAAAAATAAGCGAAATCTTAAAATACAGACCGATCAATTAGAAAATTTTTAAGTCCAGAGTCTAGCTACCACAATATTTTATAATTGTCTGCGAGGTGCACGAGCGCATGAAACAACCACCGACCTTTCTGCAGCCTAAACAAAAATGCATACCTAATCCTTTCTTTGAGAATTTGGAGTCCAGAACTTTCTCGCAACCACATTCAAGATGCTCCTTATAGCGATTCAAACATTGAACTAACAATCCAGCTTCCAGCTGTACAGAGTTCTGGGAAATCAAAGAGACAGTTGAAGTTTGTCTTGATATAACTGACGTCATTTATATCCTGAGTTAAGCAGCATATAATAATACAACATCAACATAAATAGTCTGAAGGCATATCAGAAGAAGAGACAATGGATGGGGGAAATCACTGTTTGACGAAGTAGCCAAGTAATCGAAGTTAATCTTTAAACATTATGACTGATAGATTCTCCAGTCACTAACGTCCATCAGATTAATTTTCCATAGCTGGTATGTAAGGATTAGTCGGTAGAATAAAGAATCTATGGGACATTAAATCGGGTCTCAGTGGCTAGCTTGCCTTGTAACCGGAAGGTTGTGGTTCTAATCCGAGTGGGTGCGTACTGCCGATGATTCTAAAAACTAGGATGAAACATCTGTCCAGTACTCCATGCTGGTTTTCAATGGTTCTCTAACTGATATCAATCCGTGGTCAAACTCGTAAAAACACATTTGAAAGTGTTAAGTTTTGTATAATATAAGAAGACAGAATTATGATATAACCGTGAAATTATTTTTCTTCTTATTGTTATATACTACTGATGGACTGATATAATAATAATAATAATAGCTTTATTTTAAATATTATTTTCTTATATACAAATATGGAGTTTCCAGTATGTAGTTTTTGTCACTACACTGGTAATAATTTAAATATTAACGATAGTATAACAATGAAAATTAAAAAATAGCGCCATGTACGTAGAGTTCCTCAAGGAGTTGGTAATATCCTGCCTCACACTCTCCTCATCACATAAAATGCGTCCCGGAAAAGTACGTTACCGTGAAAGTTTTGTACTTAGACGTCCCCGCATTCAGTCTTCTCTATTTATTTCCAGTTCCCCAGTCTGATGAGATGAGGCAAGAAGAGGGCTGTGTATAAGGAGGATGCTCAGGGTCTGACAGGATGATATTCGCTAGTTGCTTGCAGAAGTCCCTGTATCCAATGTCTACAAGAGTATTAATGAATTGGTTTAGCGACGCTTCACTCACCTTAGTGACTGCTTTTAGAGCCATTCACAGTGTAAAAAGGTCTTACCTTAGTAAACCAGGATAGATCAAGGGAGAACAGTAAAAAAAGATAAGCATAATAAAAGAATTAACAAACTCAGAAAGTTGGATATTAGTTATGTTCTCTGAGCTGGTCAGTTTAGTTGCGGAGCTTTCGTCGTCCCCTTTCTGGACAACATCTACTTTCAGAGCAATTTCGGTATTAGGTGAACTGATTTAAATCTTCTGCTCACGTGATCTAATTTTTATTAGTTGGTAGATTTGGTCTATACTAAACATGTTTGTTAATCACTGGCTGATTCGTCTTAGTACCAGGCTTCTAGGAATTCCATGACGGTACTTTTAGTGTTTCTTCTGTATAAAATCTTGACATTATCTCAAACAGACTGATGTCAGTGATTATCTATATGCATTGATATGAAAGAGATTATATAATGTCTTTTCACAACTCATTTGTGTTCCTGGATTCTGATCCGAAGGTGCCGCCCTCTTTTGCCGGGGTAATGTCTGTTACAGTTCATACAGTTTATTTTGTAAATGATATTAATTTTGTCTCCCTTTTCTGTTGGATCTTTCGGTTTGCATAATGTCGAATTAACCTATTTCAATGGCTTGTGTGCTATATCTATATCAAACGGTTTCAGTATTCTAGCTGTTATTTCAGTGATATTATTTCATATATGGTAGGATGAATTTTCTTGTGGTCTTTGATGGTGCTTCGTTGTTGGTGTTGTGATTCGATTTTAAACACCTTTTAATGACATTTTGTGGATAACCATTCTTTTTGAAGACCGTTTGTAGGTATTTTTCTTCCATTCCTTTCATCTCTGGTGTGCTACAGTATGTGTTTGAATTCTTTAAAACAATGTCTGCACAAAGTTTCTTTTGTGAATGAGTATTTGGATTATTGCTAGTATAGTTGAGTATTCGACCTGTGCGCGGTGATTCTATGTATACTTGTGTTTCTAAATTCCCTTTGATGGTTCTCCTGATTAAGGCATCTAACAATAGGATTCTGTTATCTAATTCTTCTTCTCTTGTGAATTTGATGTCTTCAAATATGTTGTTTAATAATTTATGGGTATATTCCAAGCCATTTCTCTTAATTATTGCAAATGTAACGTGTCGAAATTTAGGTTTAATTATAGGTTGAGCTATTGATTCTTATCTTTGCAGAACAACGAAAGTTCAGCAGTTAAACTAACCAGTTCAGTGAACACAATAATTGCAAACTATTCATCTGAGCTACAAAACTACTCTATTATTTGAAACTCAGAAGTTAGTTAGTTAGTTAGTCACAGGTTAGTTAGCTAGTTAGTTGGTTAATTAGTTAGTCAGTTAGTTAGTTAGTTAGTTAGTTAGCGAGTTAGTTAGTTAGTTAGTGAGTTAGTTAGTTAGTTGGTTATTTAGTTAGTCAGTTAGTCAGAGGTTAGTTAGTCAGTAAGTCAGTCAGTTAGTTAGTTAGTCACAGGTTAGTTAGTTAGTTAGCGAGTTAGTTAGTTAGTTAGTAAGTTAGTTAGTCAGTTAGTTAGTTAGTTAGTTAATTAGTTAGTTAGTTAGTGAGTGAGTGACAGCAGGTTAACTCAACTTCCTCATATAAGACGACAAATGAAAAATCTGTCTGAAAACTAACATGATGCTGGCAGACCAGGAGTCAGGATCAAAAGGAACATAGGGTCCAAGGCATTTGATAATCAATTATTGGCGATGTTTAACAATAGCATCTCAGAAGTGAGAATGCCCCACCAACTTTGAACACATTCTAGTCGTTGGCCGATGGCACCTGTCATTATCGTAGCTGAAACGTCAACGCTGTTCACCAATTAAGCAGCAAATTTCACTCAGATCATGTTTTTAAGTACCGTTTCGACAATGTATCAGGATTAAGGTTAAGGTAAGTATTCGGGTTAAGGTTAGGATTAGGGTCATAATTAGGATAAGGGATAGGTTTACATTTGCGATAAGGGTTGTAATTAGGATTAATAATAAGGTTAGCGTTGGTGTTAAGTTTAAAATTAGGCTCAGGACTAAGGTTAGGGTTACAATCAGGGATAGATTTCGAATTGATGGCATTTGTCTAAATTTGTTTTATCACCCATATTTTCCTGGTAAGTAGTCGTCGATCCTCTTACTGGAAACCATAATAATTCAGCGAAGTGCTTTTGGGGAAGACTGCACAACGGCATAAAAGAGAGGAACAATTCACAAAAACAGGTCATCTTTATTCCCCTCGGTGAATACATGTGTAGAAAATAGTCTAACTTAGCAACTGAAACTCCTCATTATAACTGGGACGTGTTTTTAAGTCATGTCAAGGAAAGATAACCTATTTGGTGTGTTTTCATGCATTTTCTTGTAAATATACGTCATCTATTGTGCAAAAGTCACTTATTTTCATGATTGGTTGGCTGAAGGTCACTTTGGGACGCACTTATTGAACTTTGCCCAATTATTCATTTTGTTTATCTGCTGACTAACTTCAAAATATGACCATGACTAAACCAAAGTAAGTTGAATTCCAACATATCTAATATAACAGAGAAGATTTGTAGCTCAGGTGAATGATTTGCAATTAATAGTGTTCTCTGAACTGGTTGGTTTGGTTTCCGAGCTTCCGTCGTCCATCCTTCCGGACAACATCCCCCTTCAGCGCAAATTTTAGCACAAAGTGAAATGTATTGAATTGGATTTTTTGATTTTCCCGTCGATTGATTGGACCGAAGTGCTCGGTCTTAGGTTGACATGTTGGCTTCTTGTGCAGATGCTTTGACGATGTCTGAGCATTTTGTTAGTAATTAACTGGTGGATAATGGTGACTAGCACTGGAATCCAAGATGCGCATTTCGTCCTAATTGGGACTCGTCATCTGGATGTACCTGCATTTCTCAGTGAGTGATGATGTTCCCACCGAGGCTCGAACCCAGTGTCCATAGTTTCAAACACCGAAGCGTTATATCTCGTGTCCCAAGTGGTCTAGTGGATAACGCTTCGGCGTTTGAAACTATGGGCTCTGGGTTTGAGCTTCGGTGGGAACATCATCACTCACTGAGAAATGCAGGTACGTCCAGCTGACGAGTCCCAAATAGGGCGAAATGTGCATCCTGGATTCCACTGCTAGTCACCATCCACCAATTGTAAACAAAGTGAAATGATTTAAATTTCTTCATGAGTGATATAACTGCATCTCCCGGTAACCACCTTTACATATGTGTTGATCATTTTCTATTGACTTGGATTTTAAACTTTCAGATCAACTGATTTACTTTTTATTTGTTGGTATATTTGGTCTATATTAACGTGTTTGTTAATTGCATTTTTGTTCGAGTACCAGACTGCTATGAATTCTCTGACTGCACTTTCGGAATTTCCTGTGTCTAAGATTTGACCTTTTTTCCACTCAAATTGATGTTCATAATTGTCTACATTCATTGATACTAAAGAACATATATCGTGTCTTTTCACAGTTAATTTATGTTCCTGGATTCTGATTCGAAGGGTACACTCACTTTGTTGACCGATGTAATGTCCGTTACAGTTCATACAATTTATTTTGTGAATTGTATTAATTTTAACTCCTTTTTCTGTTGGTTCTTTCAGCTTGCATAATATCGAATTAACCGATTTGACTGGCTTTTGTGCTATAGGTATATCAAACGGTTTCAGTATTCTAGCTGTGATTTCAGAGATATTTCTCGTGTATGGTAGGATGAATTTCCTTGTGGTCTTTGATGATCATTCCTTGTTGGTGTTGTCATTCGAATTGAAATAGTTTTTGATGACATTTTGTGGATAACAATTCTTTTTGAAGACCGTTTGTAGGTATTTATCTTCCATTCTTTTCAACTCTTGAGTGCTATAGTGTGTTCGGATTCTTTTCAGAAATGTCTGCACACAGTTTCTTTCCTGAGTGAGTAATTGGATTATTACAAGTACAGCTAAGTTGACCAAACGATTATGCAATTTAGATAAAGCAATAAGAAGACGTAATTTGTCTGAATCGTGTAATGTATTTGTGCAACACATTT